TGTTAGTTAATGTTGGTAAATGAGGAAATGAGCCATTTGTTTTGATGATGACGAGCCAAAAATGCTCAAATTTAACTGAGCTTAAATGAATAGAGCTGTGGATTATTTTTGCCGGAGCCTTTTCATTATTGAAAACAGGAGGAAATCCTTCACAGACAGGAAGGTTTCCCTTTTGTGTAATAAAGATTCAAAATATTGTGCCAAAAAACAATCTGGAATGTGTTGGACAATGAAAGGGAACAAGCTGTCCGCATGCTAGATGTGTTACCAGGAGCTGGTAGTGCCGGGCAGTTGATCATAACAGCGTCATGCAAACCCCAGGGAGCAATGGCCTCTGTTTAGCACTTATAGGGAGTGATCCAAACATGTTGGTATCCAGGTTGCACTGTGACAGATGCCTCTTTGGGAGAACACAAGGGGTCAGGCATACCTCAGGGTATTACACACCAGTTCTAAAATGCTGCATGCCCTCCTATATATTGTTAATGACTAATGAGTCAGAGAAAAGCGGCCAAAACCTTCATAAACACAGGAAATTGTATTGAATATAAAAGCAGAATCATTCAGGCGGTGATGGAGTCAAGGTCAATGCAATATTGTTGATCATAGGAAGCTCGTCCTGGTTATTAACAATGACAAAAACAAACAGAGGTGGGTCTGCAGTTGGACGTTTTGGAGCAGGACACCAGCCAGTAGAAGCGGGACTCTCCAAGGCCCTTGAAGACATGAAAGAAGCCCTCGGAGCTGCCAGAATCCCTTTCAATGCATGGAGGTTTTACAGAGGAAAAAGCTCCACTCCACCACCTTTGTTCCTTTGTTCACGTTCTCAAGTGTTCTTCTGGGAACCCGTAGGTGAAGCGAGGGTGCTCTTTATCCGGGGTGTGACTGCAACCACACAATAACAGCCCCTATCTGCTGGATGTCTCAGGCCGAGTAGATGTATAGATCAAGAGAGAACAGTCAATGTAAACAGCAGGTCATTTTCCCAAAAATGTCAAATATGACATGTAAACCATACAGTTCCCATGCACTGCATGGTGCCAGGGCGGGATGTGTGGTTATGTCTTTCTGTTGCATTCTAAAGATGCAATGACAAGCAAAGAATGTGGTGATATAACTCAGAGTAACAAATGATGAAGGTCTGCAGTCAGAGACGGTCAGAGGGTGCTGCTGCAGAGTTTGATGACTTTATCTAATTTTACAGCCCATAATATTCACATAAAAGCAGTTTCTCAATATAAAAATAATCACCAGTGCAGTTTATGAAATGAGCCGTTAACCTTGTGCTGCATATGAATATGTGGCCTGGGTTAATAAAGCACTGCTCAACTGCTGAATCAGATGTTTGCTAAGAAGTTGATACAAATTTGACATACATTACATGGACTTTAGTGACACCTAGTGGTACTACAGTATAGAGCGTGTCAATGAGTCAATGAGAAAAACTATATACGACTGCTCCAAAAAAATAAAGGGAACACTTAAATAACACAATGTAACTCCAAGTCAATCACACTTCTGGGAAATCAACCTGTCCAGTTAGCAACACTGATTGTGAATCAGTTTCACCTGCTGTTGTGCAAATGGAACAGACAACAGGTGGAAATGAGAGGCAGTAAAGGAATGGTTCTGCAGGTGGTGACCACAGACCATTTCTCTGTCCTCATCCTTTCTGGCTGATTTTTGGTCACTTTTGCATTTTGCCAGTGCCCTCGCCACTAGAGGTAGCATGAGGCGGTGGCTACAACCCACAGAAGTTGCTCAGGTAGTGCAGCTCATGCAGGATGGCACATCAATGCATGCTGTGGCAAGAAGGTTTGCTGTGTCTGTCAGCACAGTGTCAAGAGCATGGAGGAGATACCAGGAGACAGGCCAGGACACGTGGAGGGGGCCGTAGGAGGACAACAACCCAGCAGCAGAACTGCTATCTGCTCCTTAGTCCAAGGAGGAACAGGAGGAGCACTGCCAGAGACCTACAAAAAAAGGCCTCCAGCAGGCCACTAATGTGCATGTTTCTGCTCAAACTGTCAGAAACAGACTCCATGAGGGTGGTATGAGGGCCCGACATCCACAAGTGGGGCCTGTGCTTACAGCCCAACACCAGAGAACACCAAGATTGGCAGCTTTGCCATTGGTGCCCTGTGCTCTTCATGGATGAGAGCAGGTTCACACTGAGCACATGTGACAGATGTGACAGAGTCTGGAGACGCCGTGGAGAACGTTCTGCTGCCTGCAACATCCTCCAGCATGACCGGTTTGGCGGTGGGTCAGCGATGGTCTGGGGAGGCATTTCCTTGGAGGGCCGCACAGCCCTCCATGTGCTAGCCAGAGGTACTCTGTCTGCCATTAGGTACCGGGATGAGATCCTCAGACCCATTGTAAGACCATACGCTGGTGCAGTGGGCCCTGGGTTACTTCTGATGCATGACAATGCTAGGCCTCATGTGGCTGGAGTGTGTCAGCAGTTCCTGCATGATGAAGGCATTGATGCTATGGATGGCCTGCCCGTTCCCCAGACATGAATCAAATCGAGCACATCTGGGACATCATGTCTCGTTCCATCCACCAACGCCACGTCGCACCACAGACTGTCCAGGAGTTGACTGATGCTTTGACCCAGATCTGGGAGGATATCCCTCAAGAGAACATCCATCATCTCATCAGGAGCATGCCCAGGCATTGTAGGGAATGCATACAGTTAAGTGGAGGCCACACACACTACTGAGCCTCATTCTGACTTGTCTTGAGGAATTTCCACATAAGTTGGATCAGCCTGTGATCTGATTTTTCCACTTTTATTTTGAGTATGATTCTGAATCCAGACCTCCATGGGATAATGATTTTGATTTCCATTGATCATTCTTATGTTATTTTGTTCTCAACGCATTCCATTATGTAATGAATAAAGATTTTCAACTGGAACATTTCATTCATTGAGATCTAGGATGTGTTGTTTAAGTGTTCCCTTAATTTTTTTGAGCAGTTTTACATCAACATCAATAAATACAATTAAAAACCTTTTAATTCTTTTTAATTATTGAAATATAAGTTAGTGCAAAAAGGACACTACATTATTACAGTAATAATCTAAATTGCAAGACTTACAAACAGGAAATTGTAATTTTCTGTAATCTCTTTTTTGTAATCTCTTAAAAAATAAAGAAGTTGCAAAAAAATGTATGAAGTTAAATATTTCAAATTGAATATGTATCCTAGCATCTGTATGATACTGGAAAACATTATGAGGCCCGCCTCTTTTCTGCTATGAGAAACATGATTGGTGTACAGGCTCTGATGAGAAACCCCCTGGTGTGTGGTGTCCTGCCCTGTGACAGACTGTGACAAGAGCTGTTTTAAAAAGGTAAACCAGTATTTCTCCTTGTTTTCTAAATTAACTATAATAATATTATGTATGTTTGTGTGTTAACATAAACAGGACGTGATTTGAATATGCTTCTATGATGTTTAAACTGCTGCGCGTTGCTTGTTTTACAGAAGAAGTATAGTTTTTTACAATATGTGTTTCAACTCTTTGGCTACTCCACTGTTGTTATAGATATAATAAGACAATATTTTATTGCAATAGGCAAATATATTGTGGTAAACAGTGGACAGGCTGTGCTTGTGTTTTGACACAATATGAAAACTATAGAGACATTTGGGGAAAATGTAGTGGTGCCTTGAGAAGTGGGTTCACTTCATTTATGCCACAGATTTTTTTTTAAAGCAGCCTTTGCAGCAAAGGAAAAACGTTGCATGTTATTGTGACATGTACTACTCTGGCATATTGTAGTTAATTTAGAAATTGGCCAATAGAATTTGCATATTAACAATTAATATCTGATGCAGATGCCGATTTTGCATCAATACTGGCCAACAGACTTTAGGATGAGACAACTACATGATGATGCACATTGGATCAACTATTATTTATTTCTTTGTCCTTCTACACATGAAAATTGGACAATTATACTCTCATCTTGCAAGTAGTCTATGGGCCATTAGTTCCTTTTCTAAGCTGTCAATTTGAACAGCTGAACTAACAAAATTAACATTATTTGTTTTGGGGCAGGTAGCAAATGACTGGATAAATTTTGCTGTTCCCAAATATCCCTATAAAAATAAACTCCACTGCCTGTTAATGGCATATTCAAAAAGGTTCTATGAATAAAAGTTATCATGGTGGATGACCTGAGGTTATTATACAAGAGGCAGACTCTCTGTCACCATCGACTGATGGGGGCACTGAACTACCATCACTACCTGAGCTGCTGGCTAGCAGCTCCAGCGTGGTTTCTGCTGAAAATGTTTGTTTGGGTAGTTCACTTCATGTTTGAATTCATTCTTTGCCGTATTTAGTTGCATTCTTTAAAGACGGGGGTTAACCAGATGGTCATGTAAATTGCAGGTGAAGACAAACACAGGCACGACCCGCCCAACTCTGCCAAAACAAACAAAACCAACCAAAAATGGTAATGAGTATTAACCAGTCAGGGGCAGAGTAAGGTCCTTCACTATATACCATGTACACCCGACACAGCTAATATAAAAATGATCCAATTGAATGATTTTAGGACTACTGCTTTACTACTGTCAAAATGTTACTAAAAATAAAATTAGTTTTTTTTTTTATTGATTTGTTAAGTCAATGTTTCTGGCCTTGCAGTTATGGCCTCTTGCCAAAAAGAGGTGCTGCAGCCTCCTCATCAGCCTTGCTTCCAGTTTACTCTATTTTAATTGTTAATGTGATTCTTTGTTAGTCTTTAATATTGTATAAGTTCTTTGGCTACACATGCTAACATTATGTATTTGCTTATTGAATTGAATTGAGAGCACGGACTGATGTAGTGTCACTACAAGATTATCTAAACTTGGCTGGGTTTCTATTTACACTATATTGACATCATGTGATGTGTGTGATTTATCGTTAGTATTTATCTTTTATCTTAAATCATTTGGTTCGGACGCTAACAACCTAAACTTCCCTCTATACCAGGGATATGGAAACCAAGGTGACATCCTACCATGTGACAAACCACAGGGCAAGGATTATTGGGGATGACAATGATGAGGAACTTCTGAGGTATGACGGAAAACCTCAGTCATAAGCAGGCTTTTTTTGGTAACTGGCACTCCATCCTTATGTTTGTCTCTCTTTCTCCTCTGTCTTTCTAACCTCCTTCAATCAAGTCCAAGCAACCTCCTTGAAATGTTACGCGAGGGGACCAAGGAGTCCCATAACAGATTAATGGAAGATTGCCAGTACCTCAAAGATTTCTTCAGAGGCTGCATCAGAAGGGAGCTATTTAAGGTTGGGTTTCAGTCTCAGTACGTCCTCCATTGCTGTCACACATAATAAGTCCAATCTCTGAGAATATCATCAGAAGTTTCTTCGACAACATAGACTTTAGTTTATATTGCCTCTCTAATACGAGTGTGGTTATTCTTATTAGTTTTTTTGGAAATAAACTGTTAAAGGTTATTTAAGTCAAATTTCACAAGGTGAAATTTAATCAAACTGAGCAAAAAGAAAATGGAAATCAGCAAATGTTGCTGGGACCTTGGCCCATTCACTGGGAGACGTGTTAATTATTTTGGTAACCAGAATTTTGTTTGGTTAAATAGTGAAAGTCACTAAGGTAGTGATAAAATACAGGGTCACAGTGACACATTTCATACTTATGCCTTGTCTTGGTTGTATCCATACACTGTAGAGATGGACAATGCATCCTACCTTACCCACACCATCCAGAAATGAAGCCAAAACATCCTGGACTATGAACGCCGCCATCTTTCATATTTGATCTATACAGTAGCTATCTGTAATGCAGCCACGGAAGCACCTTCCCAGCGATACACGTGTTTAACCAAGCCAGTCTCAGTCATAATATTTTATAAATTTTTATAGCATCATATGACTGATTCAAACCTAACTTGTCAGAAAAATTTACTTTTAACATGCACTTTGACTCTGAGGCAGGATGTTTGATCTATACTGCTGCCAACCACCACATTTGAGGACAGTCATGTCGCCAATCTATATAAAGTCTGTGATTGGAACATTTGATCGGATGCAACATTACCTTTGGACTTTACCAGACATTTATCTGTGACTCTCCCATGTTCTCTTTCTATATCTGTGTCTGTTGTCAGAGAGCTGCAGCAGCTCTGTACTTTGTCTACACGGCCATAGAGGAGGAGATGGAAAAGAACAACAATCACCCTCACATCTCGCCAGTCTATTTCCCTGCAGAGCTTCACAGGCAGGAGGCCCTGGCCCAGGATCTCGAGTATTTCTACGGAGAGGACTGGAAGAGCCAGGTGAGCACCTGGAGCCTCTTGCACCACCATTAACCTCACACATGAACTACTGCAACTTTTAACTTCTAATGCAGTCAGTGCTTTTCACCGAACTTAAATATCAATAAAAGATTTTCTTAAACTTCTCTAATAGCACCAAAAAATGTATTCAAACAAAACCTAACTTCACATGGACATTCATCGGCTAACTAGCAAAGTTTGTGACTTCCCCTGTTCGTTGTGTTTTTTCTCACAGATCAGCATCTCTCCAGGCATCAAGCCCTGCTTGGACCGCATCAAGGAGGTGGGAGAGAAGGACCCGGTCCTGCTCGTGGCCCACGCCTGTTCCCGCTACATGGGTGACCTCGCAGGGGCACAGTTCGCCAGGAGAGTGGCCCAGAAGGCACTGAAGCTCCCCTCCACCGGCGAGGGGCTCAACTTCTACCAGTTTGAGAACATCCACAGTCTCAACAGCTTCAAGCGGCTTTTCCACAGCAGGATGAACAAGCTGGAACTGGACACTGAGACAAAACAGAGGATCGTGGACGAGTCCAACCGATTGTTTGTCTTTGACATGATGGTGAGTGAGCAGGGACATTAGACCGGGAGAGTCCTGATAATACATAACTATGAACTATGCAGAAAAAACGCAAATACATCATTTGGAAAAAATCTACCTTATTTTGAAAACAGATGTTCACAGAGCTTGAAGAGATTGGGAAGACCATCGAGGAGGACGTTCAAGAGCCAGGTCTTGGACACAGTCATGCAGACATTATTCAGGGTGGTGATATCAAAAAGTTTCCTAACCATGTTCCAGGTAAGACTTCATTCGAATTGATTTCATTTTAAAATCACCTTTTTTCCCTAATCAGCAACAGGCCCTGGTACAAATATTTTTACAGGCTACATTCCTTACTGTATATTTATGAAATATGTTTTTAGAACAGCAGTTTCTTTACTATACTAGTTCTGAGTAAGGTCTAAACATGCCTGTTTGGAATGGGCTGATGGATGGATGGGAACAGATGGAGGGAGGGAGGTATTATTCCTTAATGGTAAACTATTGGCTGTTTAAGCTGTAGACTCATGAGGTTAAAGTCCTTGACATGACATCACATTGAATCTGCTCTGTCTTATTCTTATATTCTTTTCCCCTGATCTCCATCCCTTACATCCCCCACAGCCACCAGTGGAAATCTTCCCCATGTGTGTCAGTGTGTCATGATGCTTCTCAGACATCCACGCTGTCAGGTGGCTCTGGCTGCCTGTGTGGCCGTCCTCGCTGGGTTCACTGCCTGGTACCTTCTGTGAGTTCTGGCTCACTCACTGTCTCGATAACCAGGAGTGGGATAAGTGGCACACCATAAACCAACATTTTTTAAATATAGTTTTGTGCCAAATATTTGACATCTGTAGAAACTTTGACTACTCCGTTTTCATTTCTTCTTATATTCTCTCACTCTGTGGAATGCACATTTGTATTCTTTAAACATTGTTATTAACAGTGAACCAGCTTTTGAAAGGAAGCTTTAGAGTGACATGAAAATAAAAGAGACTTAATGATGCATGTGGTTGTGCTGTATCCAATAGTGATTACATAGTCATGTTACCCTATAGAAATAATAAGTACTCTTTCTATGGAGGTCAAGTAAACATTGTGTTGAGTATGTTGCTGTCTAGAGACACACTGATGTGTAAGTCAGTGTCAGTCAGTAAACAAAGATTCAGTCTTGTGAAGACATCATTTTTAAAAACTACCATTTAAGGTCCTCACAAACAGTTGAAAACACTCACACACTCTTTCAGAAAGCATTAGAAGCTTGATATACAAATGGACATACGATATCGTAATGACAGCTACAGGGGCAGTATCTGTGCTGGTAGAGTAGAGATGAAACCAGTGGATGACATGAAGAGGGACGTGATGTCAGCAGCTCTGGTGTGTAGCTGCATTGTGGCTCAGTTCTTTCGACCAGTGACACCTTTAAATTATGATCAAATGATTATTTCATTATGTTCATTATTCATCACAGCAACCATCAGACGTTAGTTCAACTTAACAGAAAATAATTTAGAACAGAAGATTTTCATGCATTTGCACCAGTTTCAGTGTTTTGGGATATAAACATATATGTCACACTAGCATTACCCAGACTACAGGGGACTTGCTTCATTAACTCTTAACAGATCTGCTGTATCAACCAGTGATTTCCACCTCATCTTCGATTGATAGGGATTGTGAGTCCTCCTATGCCACCATCAGCTGCTCCATAAAACCACAGAACCCAGGAGGAAGGTGTTTCCAGCTCGTCATCATCACCATTTCCTATGACTCGTCTACATCACCAAGAAAGCTGTCGGACATACTGCACACGTTCGGTTTACTCCTGCGCACTATGGCAACCAAGGGAACTACATCTGTGTTAATCACATCTATGTTTTCTCTCATAACTTCACCTCTGAGAGCCAGCCGCTCTTTCTCTGTGTCTCAGGTAACATGAAGAGCATGAAGCTGATCAAAAGGGGTAAGTGTGGCACTATGTTTATAAAGAAGTATGGAAAGCATGGAGAGCTTGCAGGCGTCCGACATTTAGAGTGTGCACCAGGGGATTAACATATATTTAAATATCTTACACATGTAATTATACAGTTATTTAACTATAAACAATATTTTACAGGTGTATTTTGTATCAGATTTTATTTGAAATAGATTAATCAGCTAAACACTAATGTTTTATTCATTCTACAGGTTCAAGGCATCGTACTTGATCCTATTTTGATGAAGGTTGTTTTAGTCATATTTTATGATTTTATGTGATTATTTTGAATCAGTTTCAGCCTCTCCAGTAGTTTGTCATCAGACTTGCTGTTCTGAATGTTAACAGAATTGGGTCTTTGTCATTTATTTCCACAGAAAGGTAATGTGCATGTTTGTTTGTAGTCAGAGGATTGGATGAAGCAAAAACACATTAGCTGTATACACTGTAAGATTGGTTTATGTGTTTTTCTGATGGCTGCTGCGATTTCTTTCTAGGCCACCAGGGGGCAGGAGACAGCCAGAGAGGAGACCACTTGAGCTTTACTAGTGATAGGCAGGTTAGACCATGTGTTGTTTGTAAAACATTCACGATTTTAGTTTACTTTTTGTTCTGCTTCACATTAGGTCAATGGTTTCTAAGCAAAAGTAATCTTACTATCGCTAACATATTGCCAACACTTGTGTTGTTCTATTCAAAAGACCAAAGTGCAGCTGAAACCTATAAACATGCATCCTCACGCACAATTTTCATTGAATAAAACATTTATTAACAGACCCCTATCATTTTCACAATATTGCATTCATATCCATTGATTAATTCACAAATATTGACTTTCATTCTTATCTAAATCTAAACACAAAAAAAATTCTGCATCATTTTAAATTTCCAAATACCTTCTGAAAACCCAACTGATCCACCACACGTCCATAGTGAGTGGAGAAGTACAATGTCTCTGGACTGCTGTATCTCTTTAGTTTCAATATTGTCTCTTTTGCTGAGTCCCCCGTGTCCCCAATGGTCATTACATCTGACACAGGGCTGTAGAAATCATGGCGCCTGCCCCAGAACGTGAGGTGGGACACTTTGAGTGTAGTCTGAGACGGGTCCAGGTACATCATCCCCACAACCCTCCTGAAAAAGTGACTGGCGGTGTACAGCATGGCACCAGCAAACAGCGCTATTCCCGTTGTGTAGCTGACAAGGAAGAAGGACACATCTCCCTGGATGTAGAAGAAGAACACTGGGGGCACGATAACCACAGTGATTGCAGTTTGGAGCAGTTTGAGCCTGGACACGGCTCTAAGATGTTTAATGTACGGCAGGGTGTAAATCATAGTGTACTTCTGTGTGGACAAGTCAGAGTACCTGACCAGAGCTGTGATTTTAGGTATGAGGGGGGTGTGACCAGGTGAAGGAAGCTGCACGCCACAAGGTGTCCGACCTGCTAGTAGACATGATCCTCTGGTACAGGACTGGATGTGGGGGGTCAGCCTGCACAGCAACACTGATCTGATCTGTAGAAACAACAATCAAAAAGGTTCTGATTGTCCTCTGACCTCAACATACATGCAGCAGGTGAACAAAGTAACAACACTTACTATGATAGGGCTGCAACTAATGATGCAAGTGAACTGAACCATATTAACCAGTTTTTAACTGGTTGATTAATTTTTAAACCAATGAATTGATTATTCTATCAAGAGCAAGAGCAAATTGGGGAAAAATGTCCAACCCAAATTCACAGAGCCCCAAGTGACGTCTTCAAATGTCTTGTTTTATCAAGTTAAATTTTTTCTGCATTGTTTTCCATTTTAATACCAAACATTATATCTTTTGCTTCAAAATGCATCATCTCTTTTAGCATTGTAATATTCTACAATAACCTTTTTTCATCTCTTTCAGTATTTCATTAATTTATCTTGATCATGTTATAACTGTTTACCTGCTTTTAGTGCTTCTCATTGCAAAGATTGAGACTGGATAGCGTTATTGTTTTGCTCTGTGCAAGGATCATGGTATTGTTTTATTCTATAAAACCACTTGTATTCCATTGTTTGATTGACAAGTGCATCAAAAATACTGTGATTGATGAATGAATTGGTTTCAACACAAAACAATATTACATAATCCAAACAACTCCAACTGATGAGTAAACTAGTGAATTGTCTGAGTATATTAAGAATGATCAATATGAGTAGGTGTGTGTGTGTGTGTGTGTGTGTGTGTGTGTGTGTGTGTAGAAGTAACAAGGTATATATGAACTGAGGTAAGCAGCAATAATAACAAACTATAAACAAACAGACACATGGCTTCTTAATGGGCTGTCATTGATTCCAGTCAAAGCAGCAGCTAGCAGTTAGCTTAAGTGGCTAATATCTCGACTTCCATAACAACGCGTGTAACAGTGAACTCGGTGTAAAAGAGAAGAAGAAGAAGAAACTCACCATGACCTGCGACAGAGTGAAGCAGGAAGTGGACACATGGACAGATTGGACACGAGTCCTCTGAAGACACCCCAAAGACAACGCTTCACCCTCAGCTAACCGGAAGTACACGCTACCTAACCCGGATGTACTTTAAACCGTTTACTGTTGTTTCTTGTTTGTTTCTTGTTGTTTCTTGTAGTTTTCTTGTCACTCTCATCTGAGACTTTGTTAAAATATATCTTTAAGAAATTAAAGCTGTAGATTGTCGGACATTATTTAGACTCCGGAGAAACTACACGGCAGAGCTTCGGGTTCCGCCGCAGTGACGTATCCCCCTGAGTCCGGAGCTTCTCCTCCCGGCTCCGGTTACTGGACATTTTATTTAAACAGTCTCTGGTGGACCACCGGGCATGTGAAGACATCAGCGGGACCAGTAGCTAACAGTAGCTGCACACTAAGCGGTGGTCTCGGGGAGACAGACTGACACCAGGGGGTAACGATGCTGCAGCTGGGAGATGAAGTCACCCTGTACTCGGTGGTCTTCGTGCTGGTCCTGCTGGGGACCCGCAGCCCGCTGTGGACCACCGTCCTCACCACGTCCCTCTACCTGTTTCTGGCCATGTTCAGGTTCCCTCAGGTACCAGCCAGCCGAGCCCAGCAGGTGCTGCACCCCGCCGAGGGCGCAGTCGGCTCCGGGAGGGTGTTCGCGGTGGCACACCGGGGCGGTGGGCACGACGCACCGGAGAACACGATAGCAGCCATCCGGGAGGTGAGAGGACTGGGGGGGGTTCTCCTGCCCTGAGCCTGCCCTGAGCCACACTTTCACTGGAGGCTGGAATGACACATATGAAAAACATAGATCAGATAATAATTTAGTTCCACAATGAGGACATTTGCACTATGAGTCAACAATAGGAATCAGTTATTAATAATAAGTAACATGCAATACCCAAGTGTAAGGATAATAACACTAGAGTGTTAGAAAACATGAAACATATGTAATTAAAACTAATTTATACAGTGTAAAAACAAGAAGATATGTCCAGTGTGAGAATATGGTTTGCACATGAACCATTGTGTTCACAGTTAGGAGAGTTAAACCAGAGTTAGCGTTCAGTCCATCATGTGTGCTTGTAGTTCTAGCATGTGTAAGAGCTGCAGTCTGCTCTGGCCCTCCTTAAAGAGGGCATGATCAGTCCATGTAACCACTGTCTCTGCACACACCACCCACGCTGATATTCAGTGAACTATAGTAAACATGTACAGGACAGCTGTAAAAGCTGTGAGGAACTTATGCTTTGTTTTACTTTCTTTTAAAGTGTTCTTCTCATGTTTTGTCTCTTCATTTCAATTTTTTCTAAACCTGTTTTCACATTGTAAACAAAGCTACAATGTTGAAATCCTTACGTTTTCAGAAAAATCAATCTTTGCAGGATGACGTCAGAGCTAACTGAGCTTCAATTTTATTAGTTGAGTATTATCACCAGATACAAACCCTTCTGAAATACCTAACTTCCAACTCTCACATCTGTTCTGCACCAGGCCAGGAAAAATGGGGCAGCAGGTGTGGAGCTGGACCTGGAGTTCTCAGCCGACGGCGTTCCAATACTCATGCATGACGAGACTGTGGACCGGACCACTAACGGGTCAGGACCACTCAGCCGGATGACACTTTCTGACTTGCGCAAACTGGATGCAGCTGCTAAACATCCACTTAGGTAAGAAAGTGGAATCTATCTAGGAACATACAGACAATCCATCCAAACAAATGCATCCTTAAGTGTTTCCACCAGCTTGTATTTATTTTCAGAATGAAAACCATCTAAAGCAGCTCTTGATTTTGGTGCATTTTAAAAATGTTGTTTAAAACTATTCAAACATTGTGTGTGATTTCAAGCTGAATGCATAGTTAAAATGTCACTGTTGGCTTAATGAAGTGAGTTAGGTGAGTTAAGGGATGGCAGGGGAGCAGGTTTTTTGATAAATGTGTCAAGAGTATAAATCTTGTGTGGAAGCAGGTTTGACAAGTTGAGCAGGCTGGAATTTAAAGTGTTGAATACAGTTAGTTGTATATATAGTTGTAGAAAATACTGCTCAGCTCAAGATGCTGGGGAAACTGAATGATCATTTTAAAGAGTTTAGATTTTTGAATGTGACAATAGATGTTGGTCAGCTCCCAGACGTGTTTGAGAAAAGCTTTGCTGTAATTAACCCAGAAATGATGATTACATTTTTATTGAAATGAAAGAGGGAAGCTGCTGTTGGTAATACACAGGGGACAAGTGACCCAGGGGGCACAAGACAGAAAAAAGATAAACAGTCCCTCAAAAAGTTAGATTTTAGCCGGAGTAGACGCAAATGCACACAGCATTTATCTTCTCAATCACTAACATAACAAGATATTACAGTGGAGATTATGAAAGTGATTATAGGAGTAATAATTAGTGAGAGATATTCAAATGACAAACTTTCAGCCTAGTGTCTGACAAATACTGTGAGTATATAAATATAACAGGTCATCTGCCATGCTCAAAAAGTGTTGAAGAGGAGATGTCTAATTTAGTTATGAGTGACTGCTCCATTTGTTTATTTCTATCAGACCAACAAACCAAAGGTGTCCACGTGTTAAATGAGAGCATGAGAAATGTTAACACCTGACTGAAAGCTTCATGACTGCAGGCAGTCAGCTACTGGAGGGGAGATAACTTACCTAACTTTCCTTGGTTACATAAAGTTTCATTTGACTCGATTATCTTATTGAAGTAAGCTAATCCTTGATACAAAGGCAAAAACATCCTCCATCACCTTCACACATAGAACAATGATCGAGTGCTCTTTTCTCACATAATACTGGAGATTAGATAAGTAAGACGAGAAATGTTTAATGGCACAGGAGCGTTAAGTGTATATATACTCAAGTAGGGTCCCTGGTAGTTCTTTGATTACTCTTTGTTTATTTTGTGAAATAAAACATTTCATATCGGCAAGTGCATCTGTGAAAGGCTCATATTAGCCCACTGCTGAATCGGTCTGGTTGTTCTCATGACCATAAACATGCATTTCATTTCACTACAGCAGAGATAGTCACTGTTAAACATAGTTAGACGTTTTGTTTCCCTGTTAATCTGGTTAAATATATATTGCAAGTCTGACGTAGCAGTGTCACTTCTGTGTCCTTCATCACCAGGGAGAAGTTTGCTGGAGAGAAGATTCCGACCCTGGAGGAGGCCGTGGAGGAATGCATCAAACTGCAACTCACTATCTACTTTGATGTCAAAGGTCATCCAGATGAGGTGTAGCCAACAAAACCAACAACCTGATTATATCCAGTCTGCACATGTCTGTCACACTTTGTTGATTCAATTGATCTGAATCCCGTCAACATTGCATAATGCTGATGTGTTTAAAATAGACCAGAGATAGTGTTTACTGCGTTCCAGTACAAAGTGATCATGAAATATCTGCAGGGGTTGGATAGGGTTGTTTAAATGAATCAAGTAGTTCCAAATGTCTTTACTTATTAACCAGGGTGGAAAGTAATTTTATAAGTTATTACTTTACCTTTTTTTGTAACTTTCTTAAGCTCATACCACTTCAAATTTTGCGTTATTCATTTGTAACCACATGATAAGTTATTGCTTACCTAGCACATTTTTTAGAGTAAGGAATGCAGAGCTGCGTGGTGATGGTTGTTGTTTCAGGCTGGCTTCAGTGTGTCTACAAGCACACACAGCTGCTAGTTAACACCAAGCGGTTGCACAGATACACAAACACAACAACTTAAAGCCTCACACACACACACCCACACATACATACACTGCCAACAGTTGACTGCACTGCAATAACCACATCTCTACTCTCCTCTCAGGCAGCAGCAGCCCTTAAAGAGCTGTATAAGAAACATCCAGTCCTCTACAACAGCAGCATCGTCTGCTCCTTTGAGCCTAAAGTCATCTACAGGGTAAGTGGGCACCTGCAAAGTGTGAGGAAAGAAAAGAGAAGACAGTTTACTTGATTGAGAAAAAACAAACTTGTCCAAGAGGGACAAAATTAAACGAGTTGTCCGTGACTGTGTTTTGAGGATCCAGTAAATGAGAAATGAACAGTCTGAACTGTTGCCTTCATAACCAAACATGATCCTTTGTTTTCAACTGCCTTCCATTATATCTGCATTAACACAATAGTGTAGCATGGCTCAAACAGCTGGACTCAAATCCTAAACACTATGTTCACTATAACTGAATTAAGTTGCATATCTGCAGCAACAGCCATAGGCAGTTTTTCTTATTTTCGTGGCCTATACTCTGCATGTGCCTAAGCCATTAGATGTACTTATACCTTACCTAGTCCCATCTGAATGCATCAACATGAACACATATAACCATTAGCACCCTGATTCAAGTAGTGCAGGTTCAAGAACCTGTAAGAATAGAGGAGAAAATCTTGTGACAGGCTGCTCTTTCCCAATGTTCTATTGTTAAAATACTGGTTCTGATTAACAGGGTTTTCTGCCATCTTAAAATAATCTAAAATATAATAATGAGAATTTTAAGCATTAAAAAGATCCTAATTTTGTTAATGTTATTATTTCTTCTTACGAGAAATGTTTTGGCAGCTTTCATAGATTGTAATGTCTCTTTTTTTGTAGTTCTCTCAGTCATACAAATGTTGACACTGTAATAAAACTACAAACGACCAATATGGAACTGATAACTGATTATCAGCATTGAGCTCAGTACACTCAGCTAGGCTGTGATAAGACGATGGATAACTACTGTCTCTGCCTGTAGTTTGAGACTCTATATTAAGATAAGCAATCATGGGAATCTGATATTCCTTTCTTCTGTTACACTTGACATAGGCCTTAAAGTTGAAACTGCTAATAATATAATTATCTAAAACGTGCCTACATGCATTGCTCACCACTTTGTTAAACAAACATAACCAGCAGTTGGTCTCTGTTCTTCCCCCAGATGAGACAGAGTGACCCAGAGGTGGTCACAGCATTGACCCACCGACCGTGGAGTCTGAGTCGGCTCGGAGATGGTTCCCCGCGAGTCTCCTCGCTTTGGAAATACCGCTGGATGACACTGATGGACATAGGTTTAGACCTGGCTCACCATCATGTGCTGTGGAAGCTCTGTGGCGTCTCAGCCTTCCTGATACAGAAGAACTTTGTCTCACCGTGAGTTCCTGCAGCTGAAAGTCATCCTGACTAGAACATTAAAGGGATATTTCACTGAAAAATGAAAATTTACTCTAGCTACTTCTAAAACTTTGAGTTTCAGAAGTAAACAGCGTTGCAGCCAAATACAATACAATTTAAGTAAATGGTCACTACTTCTTCGAAGGTGAAAAAACTAATGCCACCATTCAGCTCCAACAGCAGGATCACAGAGGACTTTAGTCATTCAAAGTCTCATTTGAATCCCGGGGCTTACAAACACTTTGATGACACCACAGGAGCAGTATGGAGGCATTTAATGTTTTAAGAATGGATCACCAGTTCAGTTGTATTGGATTTGGCTGCAAAGCTGTTTACCCCTGAAACTCCTAAAAGTGTTTTGGAAACTCAAACACTTCACCCACCCCTCCATCAGCATAGTGGTGAGTAGATGATGCGTGAGTTTTCATTTTTGGGTGAACTGTCCCTTTAAGGAAATATTTTATGTGTGAGATGGCGTCATGATAATTTGGCTCACAGTGTGTTTGTTTAACGGATGTTCCTGAAAGACATAAGTTACCTTCATCCCTCTAAAGGCCGTTAGAAGCTGCTTAACTATCATCATATGCATTT